TCCACTAGCCTGCCCCTCCCCCTAACTCCACTAGCCTGCCCTCCCTCCCTCCACTAGCCTGCCCCCCTCCCTCCCTCCACCTAGCCTGCCCTCCCTCCCTCCCTCCAATAGCCTGCCCCCTCCCTCCCTCCACTAGCCTGCCCCCTCCCTCCCTCCACTAGCCTGCCCCCTCCCTCCCTCCACTAGCCTGACCCTCCCTCTCCCTCCACTAGCCTGCCCCCTCCCTCCCTCCTCCACTAGCCTGCCCCCTCCCTCCCTCCTCCACTAGCCTGCCCTCCCTCCTCCCTCCCTCCAATAGCCTGCCTCCCTCCCTCCACCAGCCTGCCCCCTCCCCTCCCTCCACTAGCCTGCCCCTCCCTCCCTCCACTAGCCTGCCCCCTCCCTCCCTCCACTAGCCTGCCCCTCCCTCCCTCCCTCCACTAGCCTGCCCTCCCCTCTCCCTCCACTAGCCTGCCCCCTCCTCCCTCCACTAGCCTGCCCCCCTCCTCCTCCTCCCCTACTAGCCTGCCCCTCCCTCCCCTACTAGCCTGCCCTCCCTCCCCTTGCCTCCAATAGCCTGCTCCCTCCCTCCTCCCTCCACTAGCCTGCCCTCCCTCCTCCCTCTACTAGCCTGCCCCCCCCTCCCTCCCCTACTAGCCTGCCCCCTCCCTCCCTTTACTAGCCTGCCCCCTCCTCCCCTCCACTAGCCTGCCCCCCCCTCCCTCCACTCAGCCTACCCTCCCTCCTGCACTAACCTGCCCCCTCCCCTCCCACTAGCATGCTTTACCCCTCCCTCCCTCCCCTCCCTCCACGTGTCCCTCAAATTTAACCCTCCTTTCTCCCATATTACCATCTCCTTCCCTCCCCATCTGGGTGACCTCATCCCCACCCTTCCCTCTCTTCACAAAGGTCACCCTTCTCCTCTTCCTCTCCCTCCCCATTTCTCCCCACACACCTTTCCTCCCACCCAGCACACTCTCTCAGCACCTTCCTCCCTTCCCACCCAGCACACCCCTCTCAGCACCTTCCTCCCTTCCCACCCAGCACACCTCTCTCAGCACCTTCCTCCCTTCCCACCCAGCACACCTCTCTCCACCATCTTCCCTCCTTCCCACTACTTGTCCCTCCTATCAATACCTCCCTCCCCTTCAACCAGGTGACCATCTTCCTTCTCCATTCTCCCTCCCCTAACTGTGGCCGCCTCCCCCGCCACGCCAGGGGTCCGGCGCGGGTAATAGAGTCGGGTGGGAGACAAAAGCGGCCGCCCAGGGGAGCGTGTAGGCTCCCCGGGGAGCCTGATGGGTCAGATAGTCCAGTGCCGCTCACTTACTCGCGCCCACCACCTACTGCCTCCCTGCCTCTACCTCTCCGACCTCTACCTCTCCGGCCTCCCTGTCTCTTTCGTTTTCACTCTCTCAAACCCTTCCTCTTCTTCTCTCTTTCTCCGTTTTTCTTCACCTTTTCTTCATCATCACCCCCTCCCCCTCCTCTCAAAAATTACTTCAGGATCAGTGGAAGTTCAGAATGCCTCAACTCGCTTACTGTGAGTGTCTGCAGGCAGTCGGCGTCCTCTCTCTCTCTCTCTTTGATCATCACCATGACCTCATCTATAAGTTTGGGGAGAAGCTTCTGCAACATCCCCGTCGCCGCCTGCTTCCACCCGAGATCCCACGTCTGCGAATTACTGTTCGACATTACAACCGCATCCAGCCCATACTAGCACGTACTGATCGCTATAAGAACAGCCAAGTCCCAACCATTGTAACAATTATAAACAACTCGTATGTTTGTTACAATGTTGAAATGTCCTGTGTATGACCTTCTCCCAACTTGTTATTATATATCATATTTGTATCACTTATGTTACCTGTGTATTATTTGTGACCCATTCTCCAATTATGTAACTGTATATTTTCAACCTTATGGCTGCCATGCTCTTTCAATAATCCGTTCATTATTATTATTTCACACACACACACCTCGCACCTCTCCACCTCCTGCTGTGGTGGATTCTGATTCTCTTCTAAAAGTATTAAACACTACGTTAAGTTACTAGAAACCACAATATAAATACCAATTCCATAAAACGCTTCACAAAGGATTATTTCCCCTCAACTCTACAACCCTGAATTAATAAACTCTTAATAAAGAACTATAAGAACTTCACAGCGTTATTTTTTATGTAATTTAATTCAGGATAAGTTACTGAGGACATTTTTCTGATATAATTGATCTGAGGCTTTGTTTACCTTCATAGATCACACACCCTTAACGCGAGGTCTGGCGACACACACAGAGATCACCCCTAAGTTGTTATTTAAGTTATCATGTTTCACTTTCTTTCGCCTTTAATTTTCATAACGAATAATATCCAAACACTTTTATTTTTATTCCAGACATCTTTCATTAATTTTGAACGCTCTTATTTCACAAAAGTCAAAACATACTATATAGTGACCAATGTAGTACCTTTCACCAATGGACTTAGTGTTTATCATTGTAGAGGTATTGTGAAATATACAGTTACCAATGTAGTTATATGCTCTGCCAAGACATTGCTACCATTGAACTTTTTATATTGTTAATACAGTAACATTTGTACCTTTATCAATGTAGCTGATATTGTAGGAACATTGGGAAAAATAGTTACCAATGTAATCTGTTTAAGAATTCCCTCACTGGTATTCTTTTACGGTGTTACTTTAGTCAACACAAAAAAGTAGATAATGTTACGGGTAATATCATGAGTTTGGTAACACTGTAACTTCATCAGTGTTACCAAGGCAATATTTCCTCCATCACCAATGTGGTTATAAATGTTACGACGTGGTATCATTGTCACAATCTGGTATTAATGTTACAGTGCTATATTGGTGGTGGTGGTGGTGATGATGGTGATGATGGTGGTGATGATGGGAGGGAGTGGTGGTGATGATGGGAGTGGGAGTGGTGGTGATGGTGGTGGTGGTGATAATGGTGATGATGGTGGTGATAATGGTGATGGTGAGAGAGGGAGTGGTGGTGATGATGGGAGAGGGAGTGGTGGTGATGATGGGAGTGGGAGTGGTGATGATGGTGTCGTAATCTAGATGGTAATACAAAATTATTTTAATAATTTTCTTGAGATACTGTCCAGTGTTTCTCAGGTGTCTTTAGGAGAGCGGCAACACTCGTAAAGGCTCAGTCATGCCAAGTGTTGTTGTTGTTGTTGTTGTTGTTGTTGTTATTGTTGTTGTTGTTAATGTGTACTTTTTAGCTGTATTAATATGGCTAAATTTATTATCTCACTGTATTTCACTCAGTTCTCAATGTCCACGTCAAGTCTCTCTCTCTCTCTCTCTCTCTCTCTCTCTCTCTCTCTCTCTCTCTCTCTCTCTCTCTCTCTCTCTCTCGTTAACACACGACTCTTATTCAGTTTATTAAGTCTTTCCTTCTTCTCTTGGTTCTCTTATTATTCCTCAAGGTTAACCCACCAAACACACACACACACACACCTCATTTTAGTCACATATGTTAATGTTCAGAGTACATCAAGAATTAAAAAAAAATAATAATTCCCCGTTCGTAAAAATAACACCAATCTGCATCATATTTACCCCATTGGACACCACACACACACACACATACAATATACATATACATATAAAATACATATACATAGATCTCTCCCTTTACCTTTTAACTTAAATTCTTATACATGTAATAGATTTTTCCTTTTAATTATTTGAGTTATTTTATATCCCTCCTCTACGTAGACAAGTCATAGAGGTATATAAATAAATAAATGAGTTTGGTGTTATAGCAGCGGGTGGTTGGCTGTGTGGCCTCAGTATACTGTTACTCCTGCAGGCTCCTACGGTGAAGGTGTTGCGTCGTCAGCAGGTATGATGGAGTGATGATGGTCCCACAACACTTAACTAACATTAAACACAAAACAAGTGGAAGAAAAACACACACCAAAAGAATAAATAAAATATAAATAAAACCTTGATAACCTTACATTAAAGATGATGAAAACGACAGTAGTATTAAAAGATAAGGATATACATACATACATACATACATACACATACACATACACTCATACATATACACACACACACACACACACACACACACACACACACACACACACACACACACACACACATACACATTATTAATCACCCGGGGGTCGTGATGAAGCAGTGCTAGAGAATTATACCCTGAAAATAGACAAAATATTCCCATCCTGAACTTTCACTCAGGTTAATGCCCTTGAGGTACAGTATAGATCACCACGACAGGTAACATTAGGAGTGAAGTAAAATACCCTCAACACTGTTTTGCCAGGAGATTGTGTTGTTGTTATTTCCCTCGTTGCCAGGAGATTGTGTTGTTGTTATTACCCTCAACACTGTTTTGCCAGGAGATTGTGTTGTTGTTATTTCCCTCGTTGCCAGGAGATTGTGTTGTTGTTATTTCCCTCAACACTGTTTTGCCAGGAGATTGTGTTATTGTTATTTCCCTCAACACTGTTTTGCCAGGAGATTGTGTTGTTGTTATTTCCCTAAACACTGTTTTGCCAGGAGATTGTGTTGTTGGTATTTTCATTAGATTTAAGAGAAGAGATGATTTTAATAATAAACAAATTAGTAAAAAGTAAAAAGAAAGTGTAAAGTATTATGTATAAAGTATTAATTCATTATTTTAAAGGCACTGTAAAATTAATATTAGTAATGAGTAATTATGTGAGAGGTTAGTATCTGTATTGCGTTATTATTCGACACAATATGACGTGGTTTTAAGATCTCTGTAAAAGAAATTCTCTCTCTTTTATTTGTCAAGTTATTGCAGTGTGTTGAAATCATGTGTGTTTAATTACTGTTCTTAGTACACAATGTGAGCGGCTGAGGAATATTAATTTATTTCATTAATATCTTGACAATGTTAATAATATGGGCAGTCTGTTGTACATGTTTTTCTTAAGTGCAATTCTCTCTCTCTCTCTCTCTCTCTCTCTCTCTCTCTCTCTCTCTCTCTTAGTATTCTTTCATCATCTCGTCTTCAGTCATCAAAAAATAATTTCCGATGTGGACACAACCACACGGCATGGCCAGGTCTGCATGGTGTGGCTTGGTCAGTACAGTGTGGCCAAGCTTGTAGAATATAGCCAGGTATACACGGTGTAGACTCCTCAGGATATATTGGACGGGGCCACAAAGGCCGGTCGGGGCACCTCTGGGGGCGGTGTGGGCCCGGGGTAGCTTGTTATCAGGGCCCCCGCTGGCCTGACGACAGCCGGGAAATACTACGTTGACCCCACCTGCTGCCCCGTGGTCACCATTCCCCCCCCTCCCCCCGTGTCCCTGCTGTTGCTGCCCCGTGGTCACCCTGTGTCCCTGCTGTTGCTGCCCCGTGGTCACTCTATGTCCCTGTTGCTGCTGCCCCGTGGTCACCCTGTGTCCCTGTTGCTGCTGCCCCGTGGTCACCCTGTGTCCCTGTTGCTGCTGCCCTGTGGTCACCCTGTGTCCCTGTTGCTGCTGCCCCGTGGTCACCCTGTGTCCCTGTTGCTGCTGCCCGTGGTCACCCTGTGTCCCTGTGCTGCTGCCCCGTGGTCACCCTGTGTCCCTGTTGCTGCTGCCCCGTGGTCACCCCTGTGTCCCTGTTGCTGCTGCCCCGTGGTCCCTGTGTCCCTGTTGCTGCTGCCCCGTGGTCACCCTGTGTCCCTGTTGCTGCTGCCCCGTGGTCACCCTGTGTGCTGCTGCCCATGGTCACCCTGTGTCCCTGTTGCTGCTGCCCCGTGGTCACCCTGTGTCCCTGTTGCTGCCCGTCACCCTGTGTCCCTGTTGCTGCTGCCCGTGGTCATGCTGCCCGTGGTCACCCTGTGTCCCTGTTGCTGCTGCCCCGTGGTCACCCTGTGTCCCTGTTGCTGCTGCCCCGTGGTCACCCTGTGTCCCTGTTGCTGCTGCCCCGTGGTCACCCTGTGTCATCACATTTTCCACTATTATGTACCCCCACAATACACTGGACCATTACCTTTAAATAAGTCCTAAAACCAACTTATCAATTTAATATTCCCACCAGACACTGACGTACAGTATGTGAACCTCCGCCGGTGTTTAAACCTTCCTAATACACAATACTGTATACACCATGACAAGTCCTAAATAACGATACTGTTTATACAACTATCAACAACATACTTTTATTAACAAGAACCAAACATACCATCTCGGGCTTGTGTGTTGTTCCTTGTCATGGTAATAGTCGGAGTATCATTATCCTGGGTCAACAGCTGCTTGGTACTGATATATAGGTCACTATGAGGCCATTGGAAGACGGTAACAATAATCAATGTCGGTTTTGGAGATGACTGAGATACGACTGAGACACGACTGAAACACGTATGATACAACACGAGACTGACTCACCTATACCTGTTGTTAAGTCTCCCTATTATATCCCTAACCACTCTCTGCAATCCAAGGCTCGTGTCAGTACAGTACCACGCCCCTCCCTCATATTTCCTTCAGTTCCCCCTCTAACTTGTAACACATTTTCTCTCTCCTTCGTTGCAGATTCGTCTTGTGTTGTGACATTCTCTCCCACCTCACTGATCTACGGCTCCTCCTTCACCTCATTATGTGTGATAAGTCTCTCAGTTATCTCTAGTAATCCCTTCATTATCACGTTGATGGAGTGCGTCTCTCTCTCTCTCTCTCTCTCTGGAGGGGGGTGAGGGGGTGGGGATCAAGGCTGGGGGGTCATGCCATCACGAGGCCCTTCTCCATCAAGTCTCTGGTCACGATTATATACCAGTTCACGATTTTTTATTATTACACACACACACACACAGTCATGTACACCATTAATCAGCCAGTACACACATAAACTTACACCTAGGATCAAAATCATCAATATCCACACACACACACACACACACACACGAATCAATGATAGTCAACACTAACAATGGTGGACGTATGGGAGTGTCAGCCACCATCGATCTAAACTGGGTCGTTACTGGTGGATGGGATTTTACTTCCCCTCAGACAAAAACCCTCAAGACAAAACTAAGACAAAATTCCTTCAAAACAAAAAATCCCTTGGACAAATTCCCCCCCCCCACCCAGACAAAAAACTAACTACGACAAAATCACCTCAGATAAAAACTTCCTTGGACAAAATTCCCCTCGGACAAAAACTCCCTTGGACAAAATTCCCCCAAGACAAAAAACTAATTACAACAAAATCCCCTCAGATAAAAACTCCCTTGGACAAAATCCCTTTAGGACAAAAATCAGTCCTAACCTTGAGAAATATTAATAAAAAAATAATAGGGGTATTTTTCCTATACTTTCCACACATACAAACTTAACAACACGTGACACTGATAAAATGACTTAATAAAATACACAATCAATCATATGAACACAAACAATTATTAGAACACAAAATTAAAACAAACACAGTAACACACAAACACACACAATACCACACACAAACAAAAAAAAACACACAAACAAACAAACACAATAACACACAACAAACAAGACACAAACGACCAGAATATATTATTATTTACGCTATTAACCTGAACACCGAAAACTGTTTACGGTAAATATCACACAGATGCGATTTTGTTTTCATAATTATCTCTCGGTTCCATTAACTCTCTAATATACATCGGGAAAAGATGATGACAGACTTATATATATATAAAAAAACTAAATAAAACTAAATACATATACTGTTTTCCATATACATACACGACATTGACGCCTACTTCATTTTGTGTCTTCAATATAAAATGGCGACTACCCCCTAAACACGAGCCTCATTTGCATACGATTGTTCATTCATGTATGCAATTATGGTCTTCTGGAGCCGAGGCTACTTTTGGTCAAGCCGGTCAATCAGTCAGTCAGTCAGTCAGTCAGTCAGTCAGTCAGTCAGTCAGTCAGTCTTCCGATTCTTGGTTGATCTCGTCAGTGAATCAAGAGTTGAACTTCATATTTGTTTTTGTTTTTTATCATGACTAATTTAAATCCCTCCTCCTCCTCCTCCTCCTCCTCCTCCTCCTCCTCGTCGTCTTCTTACCCCTCCCCCACGGCATCATCCTCTTCCCTTCCTTCCCCTTACCTCCCTCCTCCTCTTCCCTTTCTTCCCCTTACCTCCCTCCTCCTCTCCCCTGACACCCCCTACCTCCCCCTTCCCCTGCCCTACCATTATTCTCCCCTCCCCTCCTGACAGGCTCCTCCCTCTTCCCTCTCCCTGACAACCCCTTCCTCCCTCCCTCCCTCCTCCTGACAGCCCCTACCTCCCCCACGCCCCCTCCTCCATCCCGCCCTGAGCTGGCAATATTATGCTTATCACAGCACAAGTCGACCCTAATGAATCAGACGTGTTTCCCTGATACCTGTGTCGTCCAGCCTGCCTCACCTGGGCCAACACCGTGCTACTCAACCCCTGTCACTTTGGTCGGAAATCTAGTGACTGGGAACGGGGGGAAACGTCCTTATTGATACTCGTTGCTTGGAAGGTTGTTTGGTGTAAGAGGCGAGTTGTGTGATCCGTGAAGGTGAGGGGATGGGGGAGAGGGAATGAGAGGGAGGGGATGGAATGAGGGGAGGGAGAGAGGGGTAGAATGAGGGAGGAGGTACTATGATGAGAGAGATGATGGTGAGGGGAGGGATAGGGAAGGGGGAGAGGTGAGAGGGAGGAAGAGGAGAGGGAAGGGAGGAGGTGAGGAGATGGATAGGTGAAAGGGGGGAGAGGTGAGAGGGAGGGAGAGGGAGGGGAGGGAGAGGTGAGGAGAGGGGAGGAAGAGGTGAGGAGGAGGTACTATAATGAGAGGTGGTGGTGAGGAAAGGAGAGGAGGCAGTGGCAGGGGAAGGGGTAAAGTGACATTAGGGAGATGAGAGAGAGAGAGAGAGAGAGAGAGAGAGAGAGAGAGAGAGAGAGAGGAATTAGGAGGAGGGAGACAAGGAGGAGGAGGAGGAGGAGGAGGAGGGCCTCATCAGTATGCAGGAGGCGGCATTTAATGGGTTTCCGAGAGAAGTGTTTCATTTAGCCGATACCACTTTCATTAGGTGGAGGTATATCTGTTTCATTATTCATGGCTCCAGTATCAACACATGATACTGGTTAATGTTTTAATTGGCCATCCAGATACGAGGAGATGATGGCCCGCTATAGTGTGGACCACAACCAGTAGCTGGCCACTGGCGCCCCAGGGCCAAGCCGACGGGGGAATTTTCACTTGGACTCTCCAGGTTTTATCAAGTTATTTTTTATTATTCTTTTTTCTTCTTGTCTCTGTTACTTTCACTGGTGTGTTAAGCAGTGACGGGACTCAAGGATGTTTATATAATTATGTTTAGTCTTTAACATCATAAAAATAAGGATAAGAAAGAATGAGAATGAGTTGCTGTTGTTATATTGTCATTACTGCGCCTCAACAACGAAGGTCTTGAAGGGCGTAACATGGTTTAGTAATTACATTATTCTAACAACAATTAAACAAAATTATGAGAACTCCTGGAGAATGAGATAGAGAAAGCAAGAAGGGAGAGAAAGGGTTACATAGACAGACAGACAGAGAGAGAGAGAGAGAGAGAGAGAGAGAGAGAGAGAGAGAGAGAGAGAGAGAGAGAGAGAGAGAGAGAGAGAGAGAGCACTAAAAAAAATCAGACAAACAGAGAGACAGACAAGAGACGAGGAGTGTGTCAGGAGCGGCGGTAAATAAGGCCAAGAGGGCGCGCGTTCCTCCCACGATAAGTAGCTACTGGAATTTCGCCACTTAAATACCTGGTCCAGAAACCCGCCCGATTCTGGAAACACGTTTGTCATTTTTGAGTTTTTAACTCAGCCTGAGGACCACGCCAAAACTTATTCATCATACCCGGAGATAATATTTAGCGGTATCTCATCTTCGCGGTGGCTCTCGAGACCAAACGGCATCGACTAGAAACCCACAAGAACACCGCTTCGAATCTCGCCGCTCCATAACCTTGCATCTTAACAAACACGGCGTCGAAAAACCCACCTGATATTTGACTAATAATACCCATAACGTTTAATCCAAAGTGAGAATGGCTAAGGAGTCCCCAGTAATTATGCTAATGGGTATATAATGACCGATGAAAGGTGCTCATTAGGGCGACTGCTTAATTACCGTCCCCCTGACTCCTCGTGGTGGCGCCTCTAGTCTATCCTACTGCCATTTGTATACAAGTTTATTGCGTGCCTCTGACGTAGTGTGGGGAGGGAGGGGGAGGAGGGGAGGCTGGAAAAGGGAAGGGGGTTGAGAGAGGGGAACGGGGGGAGGGGAGGAGGCTGAGAGAGAAAGGGAGAAGGAAGGGAAGGAGAGAGGAACTGAGAGCCGGGGGTGGGAGAGGAGGGGCTGACAGAGGAAGGAAGGAAGGAGAAGGGGGGGGAGGGAGCTGACAGAGGAAGAAGGAAAGAAAGACAAGAGAACGGGGAGATAACAGAAGAAGAGAGGATGGGAAGGGAGGGGAGAGGGGCTAACAGAGGGAGAGGAGTTAAATGGGAGGAGGTGGCTAACAGGAGGGAAGAAAGGGGATGGGAGGAGGAGCAAAAACAGAGTAAAATATAGGGAGGAGGCAGAAAAGGAAGTGTGTATGATCTGGAAGGGAAGGGAAGGGAAGGGAAGGAGGTGATATATGTACACTATGGCGGGAGAGATAATCAGGAAACAGTATGAGAAGAAAATAAGATAAATAATGAAGCCTCGACTAAGTGAAGAA